GCCTGTCTGTGTGACGTCACACATACAGGCCCCTCCCACGATAGTTTGATTGACAGTAGCATTTTACCTTAGCTCCGCCCTGAGTGAGCTGTCATCAGTCCGCCATTGTTTCACTGCTGGAGCAGATGTAGACAAGAATGACTCCTAACTAGCGATTGAGGTGTTCTGTTGTTGGATGTAATAATGAACATAGCAGTCGTCATTTACTCCCGACATCTGAGCCGCTGAAGACGCAGTGGATTATGTTTGTTTCTGAAGGGAATGCTCCCCCGATCTACATAAATGCGTCTATGTTCGCGCGATTCCTGATCCAGCTTCATCTACAGAAGAAGTGAGTATAATGTTTTGTAATGAATCTTTGCAAATCGCCTTAATGTGCTAATTAGCAAGTTTCACGATGAATGCGGCTGAAGTAAACAGTCTCTCTGAGAGCAGCTCGGAAGAGAGGTGCGGGGCCAGCAGAGCTAATTAACATTTAAAGGAAAATGCTACAAAAACGGCTTGATCTGAAAAGAGCTGTTTTTGACAGGGTAAAAAAGGTGTTTTTTACACTACCATTGAAAAATTTTAACCAAACTATGTTACAGACTTTTCATTAAGACCCTAAAGAATCATATCAACTTGTGGAAAATGGGCATCATATGACCCCTTTAAAATAAAGTGTAAACCAAGTCTTCAAGTTGTTTCCTACATTGTTGTTACATTCAACATTGTTTTTTTCAAATGACACCAAGATATCATAATTTTATTCCATGTTTATATAAAATGTGTTAACTTTTGTCAGCTTAAGCAAATAGAGAGTCAAGCTCTAGTTACATACTGCATATTTTGGTAAATATTGTTGGTTATCTGGTTATTCTGTGCACAGAAATTAGCATAGTGTACATACTGCAGAAATTGTAATAGTAGTATGTCATTCCAAACATGATCCAACATGTGTGCCATCTACAGTCTACCATGATGTTTTCAGTAATGCATTATGGGTAATGTTGGTTAAGTATGACTTTTCTGAAATATCCTGACATGATTTTCTTGGAACGTCTCACTCATGTGTTTCCAATTATGACAAAGTGTTTCACCAAACAAATAACAGTAAGAGTAACTGTGTAACCACACAGTAAATAATGTGGCTCTTACATGTCACCTTTCAAATTTTGTAAGCTGTATTTTATGTGGTCAGAAACCTCTGGTGTCTATAAGCGAGAAAATAATTGTTCTACAGTTGTCTAATGTCAAATAAATGAGTGCAGCCATTCACAATGTACTCGGCAGTAAAAATCACTTAAAGACCAATTCTCATCCACAAAAATCCGAAATTTAAACAACAAAATACTTAGCTAATATATTTTGTCAGTCATAACTCAAAATACTGGGCTGAAATCAAGCAAATGAAATTAACACAACATGTTCAAAATATTTTCCCAACACTTTAAACATCTCTACAGAAGGGCATCAGAATCCAGACAAAACCAAAGACTGAAGAAAAACACGATCATGCTCAAAACGAGATCATTCGCAGTGATTCATTGGTGTTTTCCATATGATCTGAATTACTGTGCTGAGTTTTTTGAGTCTTTTCAAGTTTTTGAGTCTCTTTTGGTCTTTGATATTGTATGGAAATGAGACTTTTTAATGGGAAATGAAAACCATGTGAGCGCACAGCTGTGATGAGATGCGTTGGGGGCGGGGTTTAGTCTGGGTGGGGCGGGGTTTGTTGGTGCCACTTGAGGGAGGAGACCCTGAACATCATCATTCATCATCAGTGACCTGCAGTAAAACACTGAGTGCACTGATGTTGGAGGTCACTTCCTGCGGCTCAATAAACACGCTCAGTCAGTCTGTTCTGGAAACGGTGTTGCTTTTAGTCTAATTAGGTGAGCATCCAGCTAACATGCAGTTAAGTTGCTGGCCGCAGCCTCGGGGTGAGACGCTGTTGAAGAGTATTAATGATAGCAGATAGTTCTATTAGAAAGTGAAAGCATTATAAGTTAATACAAATAAAAAGCACCAAACACGACATAAATGTGTGAGAATTGTTTTTTTTTCTGTTAGTCACAAAAGTACACATTTAGCAAAATGTCCTGGCTGTTCTTTACCATACATTGAAATGATTTAGTGATCACTAGCTGTCAAAGTCCAAATGACAAAAAAGCTTAATATAAAATGTATTTAATTGTAGTAAAATCAGACTGGTCTCTTTATTCAATCATACAACAGCTTTGTGTGAGGAACAGAGTGAAAGTGAATGTCGCACACTAATCGTTTTCTTATTTTAAATTACTGCTGCAGTTGTAGAAATGTGACATAATCAGATATGATTAATTTATTCAGTATTAATTTCTTTGAGTGGAATTATCTAGTCACGGGGGGTTACTGATAAAGTTTGTCTGGTGTGCTGCAAATGTGCTTCTTCATTGAAAATAAATCAGCTTTTATTAGTTTACTGATATTGACTGGAGTCTCCGTTTCATGTGAGCGCACTTGTGAAAAAGGAGTGTGCTTATTTGTATTGAATGTGCACATTTACTTCAAATCTTATAGTAGGCCTATATTTAAAAAGAAAACTTATTGTATATAAAAAAAACACCTTACTTGGAGAATACAATATTAATGCAATAAAAGGCAACTTAAGTGTATTTAAAGTGAGATATTTTAATGAATGTTTCTTAAGACAACTTTAAAAAGTGCAATTTGTAATAACATCAAATTAAAAGTTAATTTTAAATCACTGTTTTAATATTCTTTTTTTGTACGTGAAAGTTGTTAACATATTAACATATAACATATACAAGTAAATATGAAATGCAGCTTCATCATTATAAATATATTTAAATACATGACATAGACGCTTCAATAGAAATGACATTAAAGTATATTTTAGCTTACCATAAATGCTTATCCATATTTCAAAAACAATAGAAGTGATTATGAAATTACATTTGAAGAAGTCCTACATCAGTGGGCCAATAATTGTATATAAAAAAACACCTTACTTGGAGAATACAATATTAATGCAATAAAAGGCAACTTAAGTGTATTTAAAGTGAGACATTTTAATGAATGTTTCTTAAGACAACTTTAAAAAGTGCAATTTGTAATAACATCAAATTAAAAGTTAATTTTAAATCACTGTTTTAATATTCTTTTTTTGTACGTGAAAGTTGTTAACATATTAACATATAACATATACAAGTAAATATGAAATGCAGCTTCATCATTATAAATATATTTAAATACATGACATAGACGCTTCAATAGAAATGACATTAAAGTATATTTTAGCTTACCATAAATGCTTATCCATATTTCAAAAACAATAGAAGTGATTATGAAATTACATTTGAAGAAGTCCTACATCAGTGGGCCAATAATACACTCTAAAGTTCAGCTAAATGCGTTTAATAAATTTAAAGTATATTACATTTTGTTATACATATTACATGCACTTACTATAGTAATAACAGTAAATTATGCATAATTAAGTAAATAACCCTAATCCTATATAAGGTACATGTTGTTAATCAATATTACTCTGTACTTTTTTTGTGTAATTACACTGTAACAACATCACTTTAAAATAAAGTGTAAACTACAATTTAATTGCAATTAACATGCAATTGGCATGCATCTGAAAACATTACATTCAGTTTACACTTAATTATATACTTAACTATATACTACCACAAAGTTTTACATAATGACATACATATTTTATAAAAGCACTTTTTGTTTCTTTATGTGTAAAACTTTTTTTAATGATGAAATATAGTTTTAAGTTGTTCTTTGCTGAAAGTCTCCACTGTAGCTCAAATCTCATTCATATTCAAGCCTGGAGATTCATGACGCATCTGCCCAGGTTTAATGTCAGTGAGAGTGATGAGATTTGAGAGCTTCAAACGGTAATATAGTTAGTTAAAAACTGACATGTAAGGGCTAACTTCATGTTTTATGGAAAAGAGCAGCATGCACATTTCAATTTGAGTTCCACACACGAAAGTCAGTGATGGGGGTTTGAACAACGTGAGGATGAGTAAACGATAAAAGAATTGTCATTGAACTATTGCTTTATTGATAAACTTTTAATAGGTCTTCATTTTAAGGTCAAACATTTGATTTAGTTTCATGTGCTCAAACTTTTGTCCTAGTGATGTGAAGGCCACGCTAAGATATGAAGCTCATCTGACGCACAGCGGGGAGCGTCTATCTAGATTTTAGATCAATATCAACTGACGCAGATGTCATTAATTTTCTCAAAAAAGAAAAAAAATACGTTAAACATCCCCAGCATGCACATTAGGTGCTGATTTGCATAGCAGAAGCTTTGCTCAGACTCAAGATGTGGACTTTAAATGTAGATGAAACACAGAACCTGATGCGGGGAATTAATAATTTTGAGTGGAACATCAAAGGCACACGTCCTCTCTGCTCCAGTGGGGACAGCAGCGGCCGCGTCTTCCTTCTGCACGTTACGTCCTGTTTGGGATTAGAGACCAATGAAGAAGAAGCCATTAGAGAAGATGAAAAAGAGTTTCAAAACAGCAGGATGCTGGGTAATTATTTCCTAAATGCACGATATCCTGATGTTGCACTGAACAATGTGGCTCCCTTGCGGTGCGCACGGCACAGGTATGACAGAGATGGCATGCACACACACTCTCACACACACACACACACACACACACACACACACACACACACACACACACACACACACACACTCCTTTAAAAT